ACAGCACAGGGAAGCTACAGTGTTAAATATAAAACACAATTTAATGTCTCAGCTGTACAATATGATACCAAAGCTGTTTTTCCAACAGTCTCTTGTCCTCACTCTGTTTTGGTGGCTTCAGTTTGAGAATTACAAATAGAGCAGGGTGGAGGCAAAAGGGAATTATCCAAGTGTCAGAGAGCCTTAACTGTGAATAATAAAAAAAAAAAAAAAAAAAAAAGAGAGACTTCAAAGCAGAAACAGGTTACTAGACCTTGAACCACAGCTGTTAGGAGAACTATTACAAGTCTGTCAAGTAGCAATTAGACTACTTTGCAAGAATATTAAAAGCACGTATCTTCACTTATGAGAAGGATCTGAAAAGGGGAAATCAGATAAAACTTCTAGCTTATGGAGTTCTCTCTACTGCACTTCACTTACCTATTTCCTGTTTATTTCCCACATCCCAGAAACATAATGTAATTTTTAAAAACTTGCATTTATGACCATTCCATTTAAAATGTTTTGTTGAAAAAAAACAGAAAAAAAAACAAATGGAATGCTGTAAACAGATTTAAGTCAGCCACAAAAAACATTCTGACAGATGTTAGCATCTGTGAACATGGATCTTTCACGACAGTCCTTTCCAATCTGGGCTCTTTTCAAATAAGAAGACCTCCAGGGTTTTTTGTTGTGGTGTTTATTTCAATATGCTTTATAAAATTTAAGATCGGTTTTCCATACCAGAAGGGTGACTTTTCAATGTATTAGTCCACCTACTTGGAATGCTAGTTACAGCACTTGACACTCGATTTTTAGTTGTGCATGCTGCCAGACAGGTTAACCCATTGACTAGATTTGTGTTAAGATAAACAGTAAAGATCATTAGATGAAGAAAAAGAGGAAAAAAGGAAATCTAACATTGAAATGAATTAGTTTTACAAGATTACCACTTGCCAATAAAACCATTTTACACAGAATTACGTAGGAACAGACTACTCAAACTTGCAACAACTTGCTAAAGCATAATGAATCCCAGCAACTGACTATCATGTTTCAGGGGGTCTGCTCAGAAAGAGAAATATTACTTTCCCCACATTTCTATTCCTTCCAGTCAATCAAACAAATCGTCGGCTCTTCTAAATATTTTGCTCCCCAAGGGTCCTGCTTGCATGGTAGCAGGCCTTTCCACTTCTCTAAGATCTTGTAAATTGAAAACAAATTAAAGAGCAAAATCTACAGAACTATTCATGACGAGTGCATAGAGGCAGCTCATATTTTTTAAAGTAAATGTACTGTCTTTCTTTTGTTCTTGGAATAGGAAGTTCTAGCAGACTGGAGCGCTAACGTTCAGGTGGGAGGTCAAAACATATGCCAAGAGAAGCGAATGGAAAATTTCTTTAGTTATCCTCAAAGATTTTTAAATGTGGATTCACAGCTATAGCTAGCATTATTTTATATTAGCAGTGGTTAGCTTTTCCTTCTTAACAGACAACACCTTTTTCTGTCCAGCCTCCTCACCCAAATCTTTTGAGCGTTCTGACCAGTTTAACTGCCTAATAGTCCTAAAAATGCATCTATTTTAGTTTCACCAATTACCACACAACCAGCCCTGTCCTTTAAGGCATAAAATTGACCAGCTCTATTTTTTACTGAACTCACGTGGCCTGTTCAAAACAAACAGATACTGGCAAGAGCAAAATCCAAATTATACACTGCTTTATCCCAGGAACACAAAGTACAAGGCCGACGCAGTGAGTCAGATTCCTCAGTGCCAGTGAGCTCCTCAGGTTGACAGGAGTCTCTGTGGGATCTTCATATGTGTAAGCCAGGCCTTTTTCAAAAAGAGTCAAAATAATCGGGTTTAGACAAACATGTGTTGTGTCATTAGCAAAAGTATCTCATCAGAAGGAAAAAGGCAGAAAAAAGTATGCCAGGAATGCTGGAAAGAGGCAGACAGCCATGGCGAGTCAGATTTTCTTTTTTCCCCCGCCCCATGAAACTCCTTCAGCGTGAAAAGTCCATTTTGCAAGACCAGTTAATTATAGGGGGAAGGCAAATGATTCGACAATAATGCAGGGAACGTGGGACCAATTTATGTACAACAGAGGCTGGAGAACTTCTGAGTCTCTGTAATGATTTCTCAGCATCCTCAGAAAATGCTTTAGATTCTTCAGCCAAAGGGACTTAAACCCATCAGATGTATCCACTTGTCTATCAGTAAAAAGTCATATTCTATATATGTGCATTTATGTACAATAAAGGCAAGATGCATATAGGCATTACCATAATTTCTATGCTTTACCTGTGTCAGTTTTAAGCAATTAAATGAATCCATTTCCTTACAATGAAAACAGAAGTTTCTTCCACAGTTTGCCAGTTTCTTTCTAGAAACTGGATGCCTTGAACAAAATGCATCACTTCCCCTGTTCCACATTTAATTTCATGCCTCTTTTCATCTTACTGTGTTTTTTATGCTTCCCTGTGGCAACAACATCTAGGTTATTGTGGAGTGCTACAAAAGAAGATATACAATAAAACAGCCTGTCTAAAATAAAAATCAATTAACTATTCATCTACCTGGATATCTAATTAGAAAATTTTGTTTACGAAACAATGAATTCTCTAACTCATCTTGCCTCATAAAATACAACAGTTGCTTTCATGGCAGTTTTACTTTACAAAAAAAAAGTTTACAAAGAAAAAAAGGGGGTTTTTAATCACAAGAATGAGCCATCAGTTGGTTCAAAGGGCTGCCAGAGGGCGTTGGACCCTTTTGCTCACTATCAGGTGACAGACACAGACATTTCTGATAGAGGAGAAAAGTCTCATGTGGATGCTTATCAGCCATGGAAATAGCAGCTGATAAAGCAGTATGAGGTGTTTTCCATTCCTCAGTCTTTAAGTGCTTGTTCTCTTCTTTGCAAAAGAGAAAGTGGGTTGATTTTTCTCTTCAGGATCCAAAAGACAGTCTAACAGCTGCGAGCAACAACCAAGCTCTTTTCTGAGCTCAGATATCAATAAAATTTGAGGAACATCCCATAGGCCAGTTTAACAACTGCAAGTAAGAACCCAGCTACAGAATGTACTCAGAAGCAATGGACTCTCATTTTTTATTTTATTTCTATTTCAAGTTTGACATAAGAAGTGCAACTTGAGATTTCTGTTTTCTTTCACCCCATTCCTGCAAAGGGTGTGGGCTCAGGCAGGTTAACTACCTCAAACTGTGTGACTGCAAATATACTTCTGGGTAAAAGTTGGAAAGGAAACGTGGAGATGGTATTATCATTTGAACTCGGATAGAATTGTTATTGTTAAAAATCAGCTTGAATCAGCTGCCCTGAGTTTTGATCAAATGGAGCTGTCTGGAAGAAAATATACACAGAGGAATATTGTCCTCAATATCACATATTGATGTGGGGCTGGTAAGTGCTTTTTCTCTCACTTTTTAAAAAATATGTATTATAGCAAGAATGAATTAAATATAAAGCAATGAGTTCACACAACGAGATGTACCGATTACATTTTCAAAAATAATGTCAGTTAAGGTAAATATAACTATTATATGTAAAGGAGCTTTTAAAAAAATACTGGGGACAAGGCTGTTGATAATTACTTTCCTGTGGGTGACAACTGAGCTTGCATTTTAGGAAAGAACAATCTTCCTAAATTCCTCCTGGATGAATTTTTTGATCAATGAGTGATGTAAACTATCCAGGGGCTTACAAGGTAGCAAGAATTGGAAGAATTCCAGTATTTCAAAAGCTCAGGAAGAACGACCTGTGAGCATGCTACTACGACCAGCAGGGTGGCTTAGAGGAACTCAAATTCTTCAAACTTTTGAAGAATCCCTTCAAAGCCTATTGCAAATTACATCTGGAGAGTTCTCAATGGGACCTTTGAAACTAATTGCGGGTCTCCATTCAGGTTCTAAGCTCTGCAGGAAGGTAGATCTCCTAACGTCCTGAAAGGCTGAACTTAGAAGCTTTATATAAGCTCTGTCACTGTAACTCACTTTAATAAGCTTCCTGAGTGAAAACAAAATCTAATGTATCTTACCTTTTAAAATTTTAAGCCAGCATGAAACAAAAGTTAGTGCAAAACCAAAGGAAGGAAATTCAATAATAGACACAGTGATCTCAGACCCAGAGTTGCTGAGAAAGACTTTAAAATGAGTCTTTGGTCACAAACCTTGAGCATCATAAAAGGAGAAGGAAAGGATTCAACAGTTCAGTACTAGTCAGAAAGGAAAGCTGTGTCTGGCATATCTTTTGTACTTAAGAAAACAAGGTCCCATTCTCGATTCCCACCCAAACCAGACCAGTGTTAGGATGCAGAGATTTAAAAAGAAGAGGCTAAAACCACTGTATGCTCCATGGGTTTGCGTTTAAGATTTCTGCCTTGGTGTTAATGTTTTGACACCAGATCACTTTTTACTGCAGAGGAGGTGAACTGCTGTGACCTCCAGATTTCCAGAAGTCAACAGGAGCTTTTTCCAGTGGCCTCACAATGGAAGTTTGCATGTGTACACCTATGTTTCTCTAATGGCATCTGTGCAAAATCCCCATTTTAGAAAAGCCTTTCGTTTCTCCATCTCTGTATGTATTTCTCTTTTGTTTCAACAGACCACTCTATGAGCATGACTTACTAGCAGAACACACTGGTGACTGGAATAGGTAAGTGAGAAGTAACAGTTATTCTGTGAAACTCAAGAAACAGTGTAAGATGTCAATGATCATCACTGTTTTTTAATTAACTTCCTGTTAATTCATTTTCAATCTTCCTGTCATTTGTTGATGACATGAACTGTAGATAGATCCTTCTCTCCTCTGGGCAGGACTACTTCTATGTCACATTATGTCTATTAAAAAACTACACCACTTCCATCAAGAACCGTGTGCCTTGCTGAGCGTGCTTATTCCCTGCAAGCTGACGAGAATGACATTTCCAAACTCCCTCTGCTTCGGTTTCCCATATACCACACTCTCAATGGGAACACTCCCATGCATCTTATTACTTACCTAACATTTGGTGGATCTGAATTTGTGATGGGTGTTGCACAAAGAGCCTTGTTTCCTTGAATGTGGCTTCTGTAACCTTCTTTTGCAGGCAAACAGTACACCCTTTGGATAACGACTCGGACCTTCGTTTCTCTCCATCCCACTGCCCCCTGGCTTTCCACCATTTCAAGCAGAGAATCATTAACAGTACTGCGCACCAAGGGATGCTGTTTCACAGCATGGTTGTTATGGATTTGTGGAGCACAAGCAACCTGGTGAAGGAAAACCCATTAATAGAAGCATTTCACGGGACCTTGAAACAATGCATTGCTACAAAGCAAAACTTCAGCATGAAAAATCACTGCAAGAAGTGCAAATTTAGTTTTGAAATACTTACTGCACCTAAACTAACTTACAGACCAATGGCAGGTACTTATTGAGGGTTTTTAACAAACATGCAAGAGAGTTGAGCATGCTGTGCTCTCCTGCATTTAACTGGTGCTCTCCTGCATTTAACTGGTGCTCTGGACTGAGCTAACTCAACCCATAAGAGATGAGGGAGACACCAGCAGGAAAACAGAATTTATATTAGTGTTTATGATTCTTCCCCTTGAACTGACTTTCATTTTTATTTCTTTGATGTTCTTTCCTTCCTCCTCTAAAAAAAGGGTAGAATCCATCTTGGATGTTTCTGAACTTTAAGATTAAGTTGAAAATGAACAGGTGTCTAGTTTTATAGAACAGTAAATTAGTCCTCAGGCTTACACATTTCAGTGGAAAATGTTTCAATGTAAAAGAATTAGATTATTAATGAAAAGTATAAAACTTAAAAAGTACAAACCTTAAGCACTCTTTCATTACTTCTAAAACATATTTTATAAATAAAATCTTCCAAACTTTCAAAATAAATTTTATGAATAAAATTATGCTACATTTTGCCTTAACCTAAATAAGCAATTTCATTAATTTTAAAATAAATATCTTCTAACAAAAAATGTGTGAAAGTATAGACTAATATACTATTATATATAGTCTATATATAGGCTCCTTCCCAGCATGAGCCAAATTTCTATTTTCACAATGAAAGGTGTTTTTTAAAAAGCTGGGTGCCAAGAAAGGTTTTCAGAGTATTACAGAGTGTGCCATAAGTATTCTCCACCAGCAGAGAAGGTGAATTTGCAGTATTTAAAAGAAAATTGTGGTACAACACTACCCATTTTCTGCAAAGTGGTTGCAATAAAACTTGGCTACTGAGTTTTAAATGAAGTGGTTTTGTTTGTTAGGAACCATGAGAGGAACAAGTAAATTGTTCTGGTTTCTTAATACCACAGCAGAAACTTTTTACAAGGTAGAGCTGAGTAATAAAGGAGATTAAGATTTGATTCATGTAACTTCTACATTCCCAAGTCTATAATGTGAATTATACATAAAGCAAATACAAAATGCTGACACCCAGTGTTGTCCATCAAACTTATAGGGCCAAAATTCTCAAATATTAAGTACGAAGAATGATTTTGGCTGGCCAACATAAAGCCTTTACAAGAGCCTTACTTTCAGAACGTGCTGGCACAGACTATCAGAAAACCAGATTCCTTAAAATACCTCAGCTTGTACAACCACAGCTAGAGACACGCACAGTCAGTAATCACTTTAATATAAACAAAGTCAAAATAAGAAAGAAAACAAATGGAAGGGGTGGGAAAGGGGACTGGTGTTACCAATTGATGCTTTAAAGAAAATTTAAGATTGATTAGGAAATGAGTTAAGAAATAGGAGTGGGAAAAGGGAACATTTATTTAAAATAATATCTTGAGTGAGTTAGCAGAAAACAGATTTTATTTCAAATAAAGCTTAGCTATTTAGCTATACAGAACAAGAGAAAAATCAATGAAAAACCAAGCTAGAATTACTATTCAGCACAGTAGTGAGACTTCAGCAAAATAACTTCACAGCAGTTCAGCATCTGGATGGGCCAAAAGTCTCCACTAAGAAAATATTATTAAAATAAACACTGCATATTATTCAGCCTTGGCTAAATGAAAGGGGAAACTGAACAGGTCAGTAATTTAGAATTTTTGTTTTTGCTATGATTTCCAAACATCTGCTCACCAACTGCTTACCAAGTGCTAAACTGTGAACCAAATAGAGCTTACCTGATTATCTGAAGATTCCTGGCACAACTCATCATCAAGGTCATCTAGTCTGAACGGCTGTGCCAAAGATATAACATTCTTCTTAACAAGCACCTTTGTAAGACCATATGTCTTCTCTCTTGTTTCTGAATGTTCACTGAATAGCACCTTCTGACTAAAATAAGTATTCATGATAACAGGAACATCTGCATTTTTGAGAAGCAGTTTTTGCCTGGGAAAAAAATAATTTAAGTGGCATCAAATCCATTGCAACTATCGATAAACACTATTTTAAAACGTGTGTTGTGTTGTATTTCTCTCCTTTGTTTTCTACAGTTACCACTAAACCAATCAAATGTGTGTTATCCAAATTGCAAATAAACCACCCCATAGATACCTCCAGCTAGGCTCAGCCCTGTTAGGTCGGGCATAGCCCTGGGCGAGTGGAGCTCCACTGCATCCAGGGACAACTCACACCTGGAAGCGGGATGAGCTGATGAGCCCAGGGAACCCCATCTGGCTTCACACAAGCACTACTCTGGTCTCTGCACTGTCAGCGCAGAACCAAGAGCACCAGGAACAACCCCTGCATACAGTTACTGAGGTAAAAGCCAAGAACAAAAGATTATTAATCCTGCTCTGTGTTAATTCAGAGCACTGGCTCTGCTGGACCCAGCCTGGAGGAGCCTCTTGCAGAGCAGGATGTCCCTCTCTGGTGGGTGCTTCCACCCACCCCAATTCAACCTCACTGCAGCCAGCTGCAAGCTGTTCCACTTTCTCCTCTCTTTTTCTAAAAGCAGTCTCATGCTTTTCCTACGATACACACACATTATTTTGCCTGTACGTTCATTTGCTGCTGTCATAAACGTGCTCTCCAAGACCTGGTTTTGGTTTCTAGTGACAATGTAAATTCCTAAACAGCTTAACATGTGTCAATTTCTCACCTAGCAGATTAAGGTAATGGTTGCAGAATCTCTAAACATGCAATAGTTTAATGCCAAAGCGTGCCTCAGTGTCAGGATTTTTTCATGTGCTAGTATCACAACCCTTCGTACATTCAGAAATACACTTTTTATACTCACAGGATACAAATCTAATGAAGTCAGCTAACAAAAACAATCAGTAATCTCATTTTCTAGAGACCATCAAAACAGAAACAAAATTCACTTAAGTGACTTTATTGCAGGCTGTGTTTTCCTACTATTAGATTTGTATCGCTTGGGAGTAAAGGTCTCCTGCCTTGGCAGCAAAGCTGAGCTGACCTGGGTTCAGAAGTAACTTTGGGACTTCAGTCTCCAGACTGCTCAGCAGTCACATTATGGAGACGAAGCAAGTTTTCACATCCAGGAGATTATTTCTCAAAATGCAGCCATACAAAGGTAAAAAACCAAACCAAACTGAAACAAACCTTGCTCAAAAAAACTTATTTCCATGCAAGATCTTGACCATGGTCTGTTTTATAAGATTCCTTCATTCCCTACAGAGTGGATAGCTAAAAGGACATTAATGCACACATATTGGAAATGCTGCAGCAAGTTACTAAATATAATTTCCAGTTTTTTATAATTAGGAAAATAATGCAACAGGGAGATGATCTCTGCCTTTTAGAAAAAAGTATACATTTAAAACTAAGCTCATAACTTAAAACTGACTCACACACACAAATTATAAAAAAGATGTATTGCTTTTATCTGTGAACACTCACAGAAGTTATGATTTGAAATAGGAAATTTGTGAAAAGTTACAGCATAAAACTAAGTACCGAACTTCACCACGATGCCTTACTTCTTCCACCTGTAAACTCTTCAGATGCCAGTGAGCAGTAGTTCATCCCTAAGGGACACTCTCAGTCCCTTGCCTTCAGGTTAATTTGCTAACAAAGGTCCCAGTTAAGAAGAGCAGGACAGTAGCTCACGAGGCTGCCAAACTGACACTGCCTGATAATTTTCGCCATTACAGGATTAAAACTGAGGAATTACCTTGGTCAGCAAAAACCTCTCTGATCTTATGAGATTTTTAAACTGTGACTAACCCCTTTTTTCTGAAGAACAAAAATGTATATAAAGTTTGCTACAGATCTCATAACAGTTTGGGCTGTCTTTATATGCAGATATGGAACGAAAATTTTAGCACCTACTTTGAGACATCTGTGTTCAGACCCAAAGTAAACAGGAAATCTCTCTGAACACGAGACTGTTACGTCACTAATGTCAGAAGAATGTTTGCTTGATCTAAATCATCTCATTCTCTAAAAAAATAGTGACGTTAGTAGCAAACCATTCACAGGAACTCTGAGGTTTATGGTTTTATTTTTATTTTCCTGCACAGATATGTGATTAGCTATTTTTTTTTTTTTGAAGGACAGGTAGGTTTTACTGATATCCAAATTATGTGTACCATGGTTTTGCTATGCCTATGCATTCCACACCTCAAGTACTTTTATAACCACCAAGAGCTTTCTTTTGGCTCAGTTTTCATCATATCTTTAATGCATAAATTAATATTTTATTTA